AGAAAGCGAGAAATCACCCCCCAGGGGGGATGGTTACGCCGCAATCCCTTCTCCTCCATTCTCCTCTCGGGATCTTGGGCACGCACGCACACGCGCCCGGCGTGAGTTTTAAGCCACCGGGTCCGGGACACGAACCGCAGTCGACTACATGGGAGTCCAGCGACATAGCCATTACGCTAACTGCTGGTTCCCAATATTTGCTTTTCTTAAGGTAAAATTTTTTTATACAGTGAAATGCCCAAATTTTAAATGTACCTTTTGATGAATTTTGATTCATGTATACAACATTGTAATTCAAATCACTCTCCAGGTACAGAACATTATCATCACACCAGAGTAATACCTCAAGACTTTTCTCAGTCGATTCCAATCCTCCCAAAGGCAACCATAGTCCTGATATTTTCCCGCCAAAGATTAGTATGACTCATTTTCTCACTTTATGTACATGAAATCAAGCAGTATGTCCTCTTTCGTGTAAGGCCTCTTTTATTCACTGTAGTGGTTTTGAGACCCATCCACGTTTTTATGTGTGTGAGGAGATTGAACCTTTTTGTTGCTTACATTGTATGAACATATCACAGAGTGTTCATCCATCTTTTGATAGAAACTCATGTTGTTTCCAGTTTGGGGTTTGTATAAGTTCTTTTTTGTTGCTGTCAACATATGCTTTCATTTCTCTAGGAGTGAAATTCTTGGATCATAGGAAAGGTATAGGTTTGGTTTTGTAAGAAACTGCTAGACCTTTTTCTAAAGTTTTTGTGTCATTTCACTGTAAATGCATGACAGTTCAGGTTGCCCACAGCCTGGTCAACATTTTGTAATGTGGGCCTTTTTAATTTAGGCTGTTCTGAGTATATAATGAGTATATAATGGTATCTCCTTGTGATTTTAGTTTTTATTTCTCTGATAAGTAATGGTATTGAATGTCTTAGTGCCTATCAGTTGGGTTGTTTATTTGGATATATTCTTTAAAGTTCTGACTTTCAGAAAGTCTGACGTTTTATCCATTAGTCATTTTAAGAAATCTTTCATGATGCGGGACATTTTTTGTGTTCTGAGTACTGGTCCTGTGTGAGATATACGTTGTGTAAGTATTTTCTCCCACTCTGTCGTTTTTGTCTGTTTTCTGAATGAGTTATTTCCACAAGTTAGACATTTTTAATTTTGATGAAATAATGTACATATTTTCTTTCATGACTATTGCTTTCTGTGTCCTAAAATAC